TTTAAAAGTATTTCGACCGTATTGGATAATGCGCCGGCGGTCACGGTCAACCGTTGGGCGATCGGAGTGTGCGGTTTTTGGGGCCGACCTTTTCTAACCCGTCCTTCCTCGGGGGAAGGCAGCATCGCTGCTTCCATAAATATGGACATGCTGGTCGCCTGGGAGAAACACCTTACTGCCTTCACACTCCTGTCGCAGAGGACAGTACGACTTTGCCCCCAGACTGCCCCGTACCACGATTGCTCGTAGTGCGGGGTCTCGCTGCTCCTTTTTGGCCTTCCTGGCATGGTTGTACCTTGTGGAACGAAGTTCCAGCCAATGTAGCCCGCGGGATCATTGCACAACTCAAGCCCGACCACCACGTCAAGGTGGCAGCTTTAGGTCGGGTGCCTGGTGGATGGTGCGTGACTTAGTGGAAAGGGGTGAAAGATATTAGGGACAGCTTGTGTACTGTTGTTGATGTCCATTTTCCTGTGATCCTCATTGCTCTTGGCTGAAGAAATCGCAGGAAATGTCATGCAAAAAGACGACATTTCGGCTACGAAACCGTTTTCTTGAGCAATGGCTGAACACTTTGAGGGGCAGTTCAGTTGGTCACCTTAAATGCCACCATTAAAAGATATTCAACGAACCTCAATGGAACATTGACACAAGCCCATCGTCAGTAGCAGAAATTTAGCGTCAAATATCACTCCAACGTGACCGAGCACCCGTCCCGTCTACACCCGCACATTTCAAGCATTGTCTATTCGGTCGACTTATTGTGAAGTGAGAAGTAAAATCTGATGGAGAGCTGATTTAGTGCTGGCCGTCACAACCAATTTGGGGTGCTAACACGAAGTGAATGGACCTTACTGTGGTGTTGCGGTTTACGCACCTCAGCGACTCATTGAGCTATACTGGGGGGGGGTGGCGGAACACTCACGGAGTCTCCCATGTCAGGTTGATCAGCGATTAGATGTCTGACAAACACAATCTTCTGGTCCTCCAGGTCGGGGATTGGAACATGTGGTGACCTTTTCCGTAGAAATGGTCATGCATTTGTATTCCCAGTCAAAAATTGCTGCCTTGCGGTTAGGCTTTTGAGTCAAGTGCTTTGGTTGGGTACCCTGATCGCACTTTTGTCTAGGTATGGGTGCAATGACAGTACCCCAGCCCAGGTAAACCATGACACTTACTAGTAACAATACTCTCATGCTATATCGACCGTCGTTTGATGCCATCAGCCGGGTCGCCTTACTCACTGTATACAGCAGGGCGGGTAAGCGATAACAAGCTACTACCTACGCCTCCCTTTCTCTTTAACGTACTTTTTCTTCACCTCATCCTCTTCCTACTCCTGAAGCAAGTAGAACAAAAAGATGCTCTTTATCTCTCACTGGACTCGCTTGGCAATGATTTGTGCTGTGTCTCAGGAACAAAAATTCAGGATGCAACCACATTAGTTGGGTTGACCACCTCATCAGTTCCCACTCGTTTGCTTCTAAATAATAGTAATCATTCAGCTGTAACACCCTTTCGGTGCCTAGCTGCCATGTCACTCGAGAGAAGCACGACGGCTGGGACACTGCCAGGTTGCCCAAGCCTAGACAGGGAGATTCGAGAGGCTTACGACTGCACACCCCTGGTGATGCAGAAGCTGCTGTGGTGGGATGTGCAGGGGTTGGTATCGTCCTAAGTCACCGAGCGGAAGTATCCTTGCTTGATTGGATGTCTGTTGATAGTCGATAAAATCCTGGAACCCACACTGTAAGGCCTTCAGAACCCCGGGTTTCAAATAACCACTGACGAAAAACTCGTCGACCTGGAATATGTGGAGTACATCGTTCTCATCTTCGAAGAGTAGAGGGCACAGTGTTTTTGGATGAAGTGATCAAAGCCACTCCATACTTTTGTGCACTGTGTACTCACATAGTGGAAATTCATACTTTTGGCCGCCCCACTTACAATCCAGGGAGAGACACGACGTTGTGGAGCGTTTCGCTAACCTCGGGAATTGTATTAGTCCCGAATGTGGTGTGGGAAGTCAACTCACGAACCTGCAAGGCTCAGATGGCATTTGCTAATCTGAGGCATCTATGGCGTCAAAGCAGTATATCCCTGTATCTGAAGGACCTGTGTACCAGCCTACAATGCGAGCTGTTTTGTATGTCTGAGACTTGGACTAGTGAAGCCACGGAACTGAAACGTCTTCAGGGCAAGATGGCCCAAGTGGTTAGAGCGCGAATTTACTGACCGGAACGTCCGTGGTTCGAACCCAACCTCTGCCTCTCGACTTCCCCTTGTCTAGGCTTGGGTAGCCTGGCAGTAGCCCAATCCTCGTGCAACCTTCGGATGGCATGGCACATAGGTACCGAAAAGGTGCTACAGCTGAACGACGTCTTCAGGTGTTCGACAGTCGTTTTCTCAGAACCATAGTTGGTGCGGGTTGGTATCAGAGAATCCGTAACGAGACAATTTCAACGCAAGCCTTGCGTTGTGCAACGAAGACTTCCATTGAAAAATTTGTCCAGCAACAGAAGATGCGTTGGTTAAACCATGTATTGCGTGTGCTGAACCATTCCCAAAGAAGAAAGGTGGCTGACTCGACCTCGTAGAGGGTTATGGAGAAGATTACAGAACGTTTAGGTGCTGGTGGTGCTACTCATCCTCTAGGATGGGGATCGCGTGATCCCCATTGCCTCAGGTTGGAGACGCTGCAAGAAATGGCTGTTAATCGATGTCAGTGGCGTTCTGGTTGTCAGTTTTTATTCATATTGCCTGAATGAGTGTCTGGAGGTGTAGGCCAGGAGTGAATCTGGTAAACTTGCAATAAGCCTCCCCTCCACTTTCTTTGTTTTTTTTACAATAAGGCTTTCAAACAAATCATGGTTGCAAGGCAGCGAAGCATCAGTGTCGAACACCGATGTCATGTTGTCGATGACGAATATAAGAACTGCTCGGAAGACGATGGTTCGGCACGCGCAACGCATGACCTGACCGATGTAGCTTCTGGTGCTTGTCACATTCCTCGACGGAAGTACAAGAATCCAAAGTGCTGACTTCCGTCACTTGTGGCGTCAAAAAGGCATATCACTGTGTCTTAAAGGTTGGTGTACCAGGTCGCTTCAAGGGTTGTATTGGTTGTATTAGCTGTATGGGTGAGAAACATAGTCTCCGCGGACAGATGATGCAATGCGCCTTCATGTTCTTGACCACCGATGTCTCCACTGATGATGATAATAATGACAATGATGTCCCAGTCGCACAACTGAACGGTCGTTTTCTAATTGTCTCTGGGCTTTCACCGGCACCAGCCTACACAAGCGATTGCCCCAGATACCGGTGTCTGAGAAACAAGGGAATCCCCGTTCCGCTACTTGTAGAGTCCATTTCTTACGACCAAACTGAACACTCCGTACTGTAACCTGCTATGTGGATCCTTGAGATTTAGGAGTGTGACGCATTGCTGCCAATTGTAATCATCAGAGACAGCAGCAGCAGCGTTGACACTGGTGCTTTACTACAGTATCGGTTGTTAAAAACTCTAAAACGCCTCACCTCATCTCCTCGCAGAGGTCATTTCTCGCAGCCATAAAACAGCACAACCATTACTGAATTGTTTGGAGTACTGTGCCCAACAATCAAAAGGTTTTAAATTGATGGACATCAGGCGCCATTCTGGTTCCTGATAATTTCGCTGCCAAGAAGCTTCCGAAAACCAATCGAACTGATCAAACGGAACAGTCTGTGGATGTTTCTAGCATTTGTCGAGTCCATATCTGAAAAGCGCATTGAAAAGCAACAGTGTATATGTACATGTTTAGAGTCTACGCTGGTGTTCCAGAAAGAGCGGCAGGCGGTAATCGAACCTCACCACCGGAAACTGACGGCGATGTGGTTTATTTGGATTTGGAAATAGCTCGTTCGTGGGCCTCAAGTTGTCAACCGATTTCTTTCGTTCCGAAAATTAGCACTGCAAAAGAACAATCTGTGGTAGGCACACATAAAGTAGATTATTTTCGAGTCTCGTATCAAATCCCAGACGGCCACCCAACCTTCTCTCAGTGGCGCTTATTCTGCCTACCTGGGCTGCACGAACGACAAAGATGTCTGAGCTTTTATCCCATTGTGAAAGAACACCTAGGGCGTCATTGAAACCGTCTCTGGCAGATTCAGAGCTACGGTCTGTTGGGGGCATAAGCAGACACAATAAGCAGAATGCGGTGAACCTCGCTTTCTCAAGATTTTCTCACAGACGTTGCCAAATGAATCGCACAGATGTGACTGTTAAAGGCTATCCAGTCAAGTAGGTGTAGCTGGGTAAAAGCGCCTTTTACCACCCAATGAGCAGACTCCACGAGTGATCAAGCTTACCAGTAGCCATGTGTCTGCATCGTCGGAGGTAAGCATAAAGAATGGTTTCATTCCTACAACGACGCCTACTGTACATGGCAACAAACAAGCCAGTAACGCCTCAGAACCACTGTTTTATGCCGTTCAGTGTTCCTGAACCCGGAACAAATACCGACCGATCCTCCCAAAAGTGACGGGAATTTCTTCCTGGATGTCTGGCCCTTGTGTTTGGCACCAATGATCGTGAAGGGGATTTAAAAGTTCTGGGGCGAGTGAGTATGAATAACCCGGACGATAACGGACTCAGATCGTTTTAAGTGACATTCATCAGGGTAGAGAAAAATTCTTAGAAGCCGACGGAACGGACTGTCGAAACCGTTAGGTTTATGGAGGAGACATGCCACCGAGACCACAACAGTGTTGGCTGACCGTAAGGTCCGTGGTTTGAACCCGACTTCCGCTTCTCGACTTCTACTGTCTAGGCTTGGACAACCTAACAGTATCACAGCCCTCGTGCGTTCTTCTGGTGGCACGGCAACTAAGTATTGAAAGGGCGTTACAGCCAAACCATTATTATACTATCATTACTTCAACATACATAATCGATTCTCAAAACGACAAGCTTGAATACTCGGGTGTTCCTGCTACACTCGAAAAACCTAAGCTTGTTAGCCTAGTTAGTTTTGTTGGTTCACCGCAGCCTCAACTTCACAAGTACAAAGTCTTCTACCGGGAGTGATGCCATGGGAAACATGTTCGCTCGTTTCAGATTACTTCACTGGGCTTTGTTAAAAATTTCTGGATCGAACAATAGGCACTACATCACGCTTTTTGGCCTATGTCGCTTATTTTTTTATGTAACAGTGATGCAAGTTGGATATAAATCCAGAAGTTATCCATGTTCGGTCTGTTTACCGCTAGATGTCGAGATGATATGGTATACAGTGCACTGTTTTCAACCCCACCTGTGGTCATATGTTTAGAGGCACAGTCATCGGGCAACATTCAGCAACATGAACACGAGATAAATAAGTAGACCGCAGATGCTGGATTGAAAACTATGCAAAACTGGCAGCTGTTAGGCAGCACGGCTAGTGACAAATGAGCTCGTGAGTGTAGACACAAGCTCACAAGAATGTCATAGCTAAATTGGGTGTAATCTACGTCTCTCCTTAAAAGTACCGGTGCAACATACTGAGCAAACAAGACTATCAGGGAATCAGCGCGGAACTTGAAACCAATCCGGTATCCCGTATATTTGAAAATACAAACAAAAACTACCCATTTATAGACTGTCATCTACTCCTTGGTAGATAATGCCAGCGCTATAGCGTGAGAGCACCTCAGAGTTCAAAAAAGTAGCCAGCAACCTGAAGACTCGAAATATGATACGTGGGTAGTGTGCAATGATTTACGGTCGGCAGAGCTATCTTCCAGCAGTGTTTACTATACTTTATCCAAGAAAAGTAGTTAACGTCCAAATGCTGGGTATCGCGTTACTGTGATGAGAACCGGATTCGATGTTGGCTAACCCTGCGCTACCGAACCCCCCCCCCCACCGCGTTCCCGACTGCAGGAGGTCCCGCGATAGATGGCGTTGTGTGGAACAAACAGTTCGCTACTCGTATGAAGATACCTTAGTACTTTTTATGATTTGTTAGCGTACTCAAGAGGTCAGGCTGTCTTTCCATGGAAGCCTATCAAAATTTCTTTTCCAGAGATATCTTCTGAATCATCGTCTTACCCATGTCCCACATCCCTGTTTCCTTTGTTCTAGACACAGCACGCATGGGAGAGATGTCGCCGACTCATGAGGATCGCATTCCAGTCGTAGAGTTTCAGGGACCCACCAGGTCTAGGGTCGACCAGTTGCCTGTATCCCCTCATTTACATCGATTTCCCCATTCCCTTGTTTGGACCCCAATCCCGCTTTTGACGTGAGTTTCCTTCGCTCATTCATTTGCACACCTTTCAGGTGGCTTTTTCCGATTATTGGCCACATGGGTATCACGAATACGGCTGGAATCATTTACGACTTTGCAGCGCCGTACACTATCTGTGTAAATCTATTTGGGTGATATATGAGCCCTTCCTCTCTAAATTGTCCAGGAAGACAATATGGCATTTGGATGGCCTACAATGTACTGTCAATTGGATTTGAGCCATGTTGAAAGCCGTGAAATGTGGGACAAAGCGGTGTTTGGGGCGAACGAAGTGTATAAGTTGCGTGTGGTAAGTTGCGTTGCGCGTAAATTCACATTTCAACCGATAAAGGGCGCTTGAACCGTGAGTTATTGAATGTGCTTCGGTGGAATCGTGCTGAAGTTGTGAATGGCTGTTTGTCAATCGGACTAACTGCGGTCATGTGGTTGTGACTGACGTAGCTTCTTTGATTCTTTTTGTGAAGACTGAGTATTTTTTACGTTTCACATCGAATTGCTGTAGTAACCATTCGGCTACATCTGGCGATACTCTCAACTCATTCAACCAACTGAGGACTATCTGCTTCAGAATGAATATCGTATCTCTCAGTTCTGTCCTGTACCGACCTAACCACGCGTTACCATCGATTTGCCTCTCTAAAAGGGACCATCTAGTACTAGACAGAGTTTGTTTTCAATGCTTTGAACGAGTGGCATTTTTCCAACTCATCCGCGTTCCTGTAGTTACTGGAAAATGGAAACGCGCTTTCATGATCTCAAGAACTCGTTGCACATTCATTTCGGGTTTTTATCTCACATTTGCCTGATTTAGAATATCCGCTTGTGTAGTAACGGTATTTTCCTCAGCTTAGTTCTCGGTCTGAGCCTCCCAAGCTAGCATTCACGTCAAAACAACCACCAAAGGTGCACAAGGTCTATTAATGCTCAAAACGAAGTCACGAACAGTTGTACAGCGCTTCGTATATATAGCGTAAGCGGTTATAACTTTATGGAATTTCTGACGCGTTCTGGATGCACCATTGGCAACCGGCATTTGGCCAATACTGGGTCATGATTGGCTGTTGGGTCCAGATTATTGGCCAATCAGATCTCGTCTTGATGCCGGACCGGCAAGCGCCCCGAATTCTGGGCCAACCTCGTGCGGGCCAGGCTTATCGGCCGTAGCAGCGCCTAAAGACGTGCGGTATAGCGGGATCCGTGTGGATTCCTGATTAACAGCTTGTATGTGAAACTCGATAAGTCTACATCGATGCCAATGGGTTGGTGGTCTACTGGCTAGTTTGTCAGTTAGAAGGATTATGCTACCCGTGTAATAACCCAACACCAGGCCTTGTGAAAATCGGTCGACGTGAGTTCATGGTGTGTCTTGGTTATGTATCACTTCATAGTATCATCATTCGAACCCGACCTCTGCCTCTCGACTTAGTATCATCGAACCCGACCTCTGCCTCTCGACTTCCCCTGTCTAGGCTTTGACAACCCGGCACTATCCAAGCCCTCGTGCTTCCTTCGGTCGGGATGGCAGCTAGGCACCGGAAGGGTGTTACAGCTGAACGATAGTATCATCATCCTCAAAGACAGCAACATCAGTGTTGACACTGCCGCGCAACCATAAAGTTCATCTAGTCGTGTTTAAAGAGAAAGAGTGGATAGGGGAGGGGACTTAGTTCTCGCTTATGTCAAGGATTCCGAGATGCTTATTCCTCCAATCGTTCAGTCTGACAATCTGAAAAAAAAACTGAATTCACGAATATCACTGACACCGATCAACCGCCATTTTTGCTATGTCTTCAGCCGAACGCAGACTGGGTCACGGGTGCCCATTCTAGAAGACGTACAGCACCCTTCTGCTAAGTCCTACGTTGTCCACCTCGCGGTTTCCACCATTCTGACGGAGGCACATAGGACAACATTTGCTTCGGCAGTCGGTGTTTTGGCATGCATAAAGCATGACCGAGCCATCGTAGTCAATGGTGCTATATGTTTTCCGCG